CACACCCACACCAAATATAATTCTATAGTTATGCATTTGAAGAGCTGTTTTTCTTAGGTTTTGTCAAACTACGTACGAGCTATCTCTCTGGAGAAAAACAAATACATACGTCAAAATTTGACAAAAATATTTAGAAAATACTGAGAGGCTCATTTTATCTGACGCACCCGTTATTATGATATTAAATATTTTAGCTTTGAAAAATTTATATTGAATAAAATATTATATAAACTAAATCAAGTAAATAGTAAAACTAATAAGTATATTCAGTCCAAAGATAACTATATTATAGTTATTTTACTATCAGAGATGAAGATCTATGGAAGATATTTATGTATAATAACAGTAAATTATTATTGTTTACTAAACAAATAAATAGTTGGGGTAGATTTAAATATTGAGATGATAATAAAAAAACAGACTATATCAAGATAAAATTTAACAATATATAGTGAATCAATTTGTATCATTTTATAAATAATCAAGATTTATTTTTATTACTACTACTTCTTCCTTTTCCACTTCTCGTCGCAAGTCTAGCTTTGTCTAATATACTATTATTGTTGTTTACGATAGGAATTCTACTGATCCTGCTATTGTGTATTTTAAGTTGTTTACTTTCAGTTTAAAATAATCTATATAAAATATAAATATAAATATATCTTACCATTCATTAATAAATACTTTGAATCGGATAAAGAAGACACCATATATAGTTGTAATGAAAGTAGTATCGAGGAGATAGAAACAGATCAAATAAGGGACTTTGTTGGGAAGAGTCAACCAGAGAAGTTTATAAGTATATTGAAGTTACAATGTGATCTCAAATATTATTAATATTCATTTGCATTGCTTTTAATAATGCTGGCATATTGAGGAGTAAACTTGGAAAACTGCTACTTTAGAACATCAACGAACCTGAAAAAGAAACATATGAACTATTAAAATTCAATAGGCAGTTTATTTAATGATATGGATTGTTTTAATGTTAAGTTTACTGAAGAAATTTTTCCTCCTCAAACTAAAAGTCTCATTAAATCAGAAATACAATCATCATTTGATTAAACTTATATCTGGAGTAATATCTGATATATACTATTTTCTTTTTAACACATTTATTACAATATACAATTCCTGATTAAGTGACACTATCATTAAAATCACTGCAATTCACACATCCAAATAAATTATCATAGTTAATACTATTATGTCTTTCACATATATTTATATATTTATAGAACTTGCTCCATATACAGATAGGTTAAGAGATGATACACATTCACACTTTTGTGTTGTACCGATTGTTAAATAGAAAACAGGTAAATATAAACTGTTTCTATATTAACAAACGAAATAAAAGTTATCAATTAAGCAGTTTATCTGATATACTATGTAAAAAAGAGCAACTACAAAGAAGGTCAAATTGATGTATTTTGAGCAGTATTAATGAGGCGAACGTTTGAAATAAGCGTCTCGTTATTTCTCATTCTGACACATGGCTGACAAATTTCTCGACAAAGTCAGGTATTTAGTCAGACAAGCGTAGAAACTTGCTGTTTCTTCAAAAAGGAAAACTATATTTTAACGTTTATCTGATTGGGTAAATCCGTTTTTGCATAGTGCAAATGCATTTTAAAAGAAGAATCAAAATTTTTCTTCCTTTATTCGACTGTCAAACAATGTTAAATATATGAAAAACGTTAATTTTCTCAGATCATAATTATATCGCCAACGCAAAAAGTTCTCAAGTGCTGTATGTTCCGTGTATTTTTATTTATAGTAATTTCTGCTCATTATCTTTTTTGACGCGACACTTTGATTCTTCACTTGAATTTTCTCTGATTATCCCAGACTTGGATGACATTTAATCTGTTATATACGTATATAAAATGTTACAAGTCTTCTTCAGTTATGTAGAATATATCGAGTTTTATGTCATTTCCATATGTTCTATTAAATAAACGTAAAAACTTCAACCTTTCTTTTATATTCATATCTTTTGCGTTTCAGAGATAAAACATGGATAATACTTCGTCAGTGAACTTTGTCTTACTGAATCAAATAATTAATCGATATTTTCCTATACCTCTCATGTTCTTTGGCATTATCGGAAATATTCTCAATATATTGGTATTTACACGGCCAGTATTTCGTGCTAATATTTGTGCCAATTACTTTTTGGCATCAACTGTTTTCGATGGTATTATGATGTTTGCCGGTCTTTTATCTCGTACTCTCAATGGATTTGGTATTGATCCGTCGCAAACAATACCTGCACTTTGTAAACTAAGGTTTTTTACTACATATAGTTCAGGAACAGCAGCTAGTTGGTTTATTAGTTTAGCTTGCGTTGAACGATATCTCGCTTCATCAACAAGCACCTACAGAAGACAATTACTCACAATGAAACGTGCCTATATGTCGATGATCTTTGTTATTCTAATAGGTTTTATAGTATATGCTCAACAATTCTATTGCATAGATACCAATCAACAAATCTTAGGTGCACCACAACCATGTTATCAACTAAAAAAGAATATTTCTTGTCAAATTCTGGATAGTCTATTTCAGTTTTTATTTGAAATTCTAACACCTATTTGTATGATGACGGTTTTTAGTTGTTTAACATTGAGAAATGTTCGTAACCAACGGCGTCGTATAAATATAACACAACCAGGTAATATATCAATTCCACGTATTATGACAGCAAACCTAAATCAATCCATTGCATTGCATCATCCAACGAACGTACCAAATCAACAAAACCGCCATTTAGTTCTCACAGAAATCAAACGAAGAGCACAAAAACGTGATATACAGTTAGTAAAAATGCTACTTGTACAAGTAAGCGACAAAAGGGAGGAATATAAAAAATGCTAGCTACCATTCGTTTATTTTTATAGGTATCGGTCTATGTTATTTCGGCATTTCCAATCAGTTTCTACAAACTGTATGCAGTGGCAACAATCTACCAAACAAAATCTATAGTACGTCAATCAATTGAGAATACAATATACAATCTGTCATTGATTAGTTTACTTCTCAACAATTCAATTACCTTTTATCTCTATACGTTATGTGGTCCTATTTTTCGGAAAGAATTATTGAAACTATTTCGTTTAGCTACTTAAGTTCGAGGGATTAACTGAAAAAATGAATATGTCGTGTGTGTGTGTGGTACTTTTTGTAAATAAAACATATCTCTATATCAACAGAAAACATCATTTTTTTTTGTTCATTAAATGAACTATGAATTAGAAACGATGTTTTTATGATATGATCTTTTATTTTTATTTAAAAAATTTATAAAAATCAAAGATAAGAAGAGCAAATATCGCCAAAAAAAACAGAATAAAACATAAAAAATTAAACAGAGAATTATTTGTTTCTGTATGTAACATCTTTGGAAGAAGATCTTGCTCATTTTTACTATCAGTATCTAAATGTAACATCTGTGGAAGAAGATCTTGCTCATTTTCACTATCAGTATCTGTATGTAACATCTCTGGAAGAAGATCTTGTTCATTATCACTATTAGTAGAAGATCCATTGGCATATTTAGATGTATATTTTCGAACAATTGAATTATATGTATTACGATTTCCTCTAAAACATCGCGCAGCTTTACGATTGATAGGATGGTCCATGACAGGAGTATCAAGAATGGATGATATAGAAAGTAAAATCTTTTTAATCGTGAATACCGGACGCCAGTCATCTTCTAAAATGCTAATAGATATCTTACCAGTTGAAGAAATATTTGGATGAAACACTTTTGTTTTCATTGTACATTTTGGGGGTTTGAATGGATATTTATCAGAATAAATAATATCGAGATTGAATATACCATCTGCAAACGGCGTATCAGGTGGACCTATAATTATTGCATGCCAATGGAATATATCATTCTTCATTGGTCCAGCAAATATATAATCAGGTTCATTGTTTTCAAAAGCTTTCCATTCTTTCATTATTATTCTTCTTGCTGCCGACATTGAATAGAACATCTAAGTGATAATATAACTTGTTATTCAATAACTACTCCATAAACCTTTTGTATAAAAAAAATTACCAACAAAATGAGTAATCTTTCGTTATTGACACAAGATAAACGTTTTGTTTTACTTTGTATTTTATGTCGTTCTCTTTCCTTTGCCTAAGAGACTCAATGAGGAAAACATTTGCTATCATTTTCTTTTTACTTCCTTTTCAAATGCCTGTAACACACATGGTTAACAGTCACTATATACATTAATGTTTTTGACGTGATTGAAGCCGTTGAAAGAAAAAAATCTCCTCTGAAATCTTTCATTTAACCCTTGAGCGCCGAATGTCCCTTCTAAGGGACATTTCATATCTCCATAAGAAAAAAAAAGTTTTTTTTACTATCAATTATTGCTCCTTCATATATATGTTTCATTTGTAAGTAACAACAACAGTTTTATTGTAAAAAAATTTGTAAGATCAATAGAAAAAAAATTTCACTGTTTCATATTTTTATAAATTGTTTGAAAAAGTTGTTTATATTTCTTTTCTATAGCATATCGACGTGCTTTAAATGTTGGTGTTAAAAATCCATTTTCAATTGTAAATGGTTCGTTAATAAATTCAATTGCTTTAACTTGTTCAAATGACATTAAACCATGTCTTTTACCTTCATGTAACATATCATCAAGTACAACTTGTTTTAATTTCTCATTCAATTTCAATGATCTTATTGTTTGCATATCATATCCTTGATCAATTGCCCATTGTTTTACATAATCATCATCCAAAATAATAATAGCAACAAGAAAATTTTCAAATGAATCACCATACACAAATATTTGAGCAATAAATCGACTACGTGCATAAATATCTTCAATTTTTTCTGGTGCTACATATTCACCTTGACTTAACTATAAAATAGATCAAAAAAACATAAGAAATACTTTTTAGTTATATGATTTACCTTATACATATTTTTCTTTCGATCAATAAGTTTCATTGTTTTATATGCTGTCCATCGACCAATATCACCTGTATGTAACCATCCATCTTTATCAATTGCTTCACGAGTTTTTTCTTCATCTTTTAAATAACCTTTAAATAAAGTTTGACTTCTTATACAAACTTCACCAACACCATTTTTAGCATAATATTCTTTTTCTGGTACATCAACTAATTTCAGATGTGTAACGGGTGTTGGAATACCTGTTTCACCTGATTGCATATCATTTATTGTTTGTGAACAAATAATAATACATTCTGTTTGTCCATAACATTCAATAAAAAAACATGAAAATGCAGCACGTGAAAATTGACAAACTTCAGATGAAAGTGGTGCACCTGTTGACATAATACGATTGAGTTTTCCACCAAATGATTGACGAATTTTATTAAAAATAATTTTATCCCATAGGGTATTTTGTGAAAAATTTCCACGTTGAATCAATAATAATTTATTTGAAATTGATGATCGAAATAAAATACGACCAAGAAAACCTTTTTTAAATAAATCTGATCGAACTTTGTCATATAATCGATTTAATAAACGAGGAACCATTGCAAGAAGTGTCGGTTGAAAATCATGAAAATCATCCATTAATTTATCGACTTTACCTTGCCAAAAACCAATTTCTCCACCTAAATAAGTTATACCAATAATTGTTCCACTACCAAATACATGTGCTAATGGCATATAATTTAAAACTCGAGGAATATCTTCAGTATTTATTATATCCAATGAGAAGAGCACTGCACATACTCCACACATAAAACTTTCATGACTAACAACACAACCTATATTGAAAAAAAAACTTAGAATTAAATAATATATATATATTTTTTTTCCGTACCTTTTGGTTCTCCAGTACTTCCACTTGTATACATAATAACTGCTGTATCAGTTGGTTTTGGTGGTACTAATTCAATTGGATTATTTCGACCCATTTCTCTTAATTGTTCAAGTGTAAACAGATTTAATTGTTTTTCATTAGCTAATTTGATTAATTGATCTGTTGGTTGAATAAAACAAACAATTGTTTTCAATGTTAAGATTTCATCTTTCCATTCAATTAAATTTTCAATACGTTGTAAATCATCAACAAATATTAATTCAACTGCACTTTGACTTATGATAAATTTAACACCGTCTCGACCAAGTGAATCATAAATACCTATGGGAACCATTGAATATGGCCAAGCTGAATAAAGACATAAGGCATAATTCATCGATGATGATCCATAAATACCAAAAAATGTTTCATTTGCTGGTTTAAGACCAGTATTAACTATTCCACTACCAATTTCTTTGATTATTTCAAATACTTGTCTATAATATTTCGAAAAGAAAATAGATTTTAATTTTCTATTTTACTTACTTATGAGTATAGGATTTATATGGTTGATCGGATGATTGTCGAAATGAAAAATGTGGTCGATTACCACCCAATTGAATACCATGTAAAATAGCATCATATACTGTTTTTATACCGAATGATGATAAATCTAATAAACCATTTGTATAATCAGGATGTGCATAAATATGTTCTTTTGAATCGATTTCAACTGCACCTGTTGGTATTATAACTTTATTGAAAATTATTCGAAATAATGAGAAGCAATATTCGAATAAAGTACTAATACCAATAACTAAGCAAGTAATTATACCAATAACTATAACCGATGTCATAGTATACTATAAAATACAACTAACATATATTTTTTTTACTATTCTATACGTGTGCATGTTTCTTATTTATCTTCCTATCGTGTGTCTGATAGAAATTTCAAGAAGAAGAAGAAAGAAAAGAATGTATTTATGAGTCAGCTCATATAACCGATAATCTGCTTTCATATAAAAATGGATGAATTACTGATTATCGATTTCACTCGTTTTTATATATGTTATAGAAATGAGTGTTTGATGAATTACTAGCGAAGTTATTTTAAAAAAATATTGTACTAATTTTGAGATATTAGTCAGTGCAGTCAGACAAAAAGTACATATTACAATACATGTACAACTTTAACAAAGATAAGAATCATAAAAAACGCACATGTTAACGCGTTAGAATATACGATTTTGTATAATTCTTATCTTCGTTATAGTTTTACATGTATTTATGATATTTATGTAAGGATTTATCGACGGACTGAATAACTCATTCAGTCGTTCGATTAGACATCAAGAGAGATGAAAAAAAAAATAAGAATGGATAAAGTTTCATTTACTATATAAATGAAATACTTATATTGTTAGGAGATGTATATCCTCTCTTATAATTCAAATTGATACTGTACATGTGAGTGATTTAGAGTTCATGGTGTTGAATGTATTAAAAACACAGTAAATCTTACTAGAGTTGATCAGAAAAATATAAAGTTCATCTTCTTCAATCTCAACCTATATTCATCTATATTATTTCTCCTAAACTCAAGAAAGGATGCTGTTTAAAAATCGCTAATTACATTTTATGAAATCAAATGTATAAGCTGTGGCGAAGCACAATATTCGAACTTTCCAAGCTATTGGTCAACCTTTGAGCATACAAAAAAAAATTTTTTGTTGCTACTGCAGCTGGATTTGATTGCTTAGGAAATCTATACAATGGAAATTTAACACAATATGAATCATTTTGTTTTACAGATACGTTCAATTTAATCGAACTTTTAACGATGGCACGTAGGAAACATTAATATACAATATTACACTTAAAAAGAAGATAAATATTGATAAATACAAAATATCAACTTTAATCTTTTTTCTTTTGCTTCAGCTGATATTGTATAATCGAAAACTTTACAATTTATCATTAAACATAATATAAGAAAACTTAACAAGTTTGAATTTCACATCGTTATTTATTCGAAATTGATTCCTGTATTCGATGATGTAATTACGAACTATTTAAGGAACACCATTGACTTTGAGAACATAGAATAGAAAATGCTCTATCTACTCAGTACAATAAGAGAGACTTACATGACTCGATGACTGGAGTTAAGTAGATGAATATCTGTGAATCTTTTTTTAAATTTTTTCCGAACAAAAAAAATCAGTAGATATAAATAGCGTCAAATTCTTGACTGAATGAGTCTAAAATACAGTATTTGATAACCTATAGGAAACGCTTTTAAAAAGAGAAATATATTTTATTGAGGAAAAACAATCACCAAATGTTCGAGAAGAATAAAGAAGTTACAATTCGTCGTTTTGGCGTTCGGCCATAGAGTTGCTATAAATAACGTAGTATTCACTGAATATACTTGGTTGATGATTTTATTCAGTTTACGCAAAGTGATGATCGATATGTAATTTCTTTGCATCCATGGTCATATTTTCAGGAAACTCCCAATAACACATCGGGCATGCATCGATTTCAACAATATCATCAGTAAGTGATGTTGTTTCCGGTTTTCCAACTTCGGCTTTATCATCCTTGTTTATCCTACATTCAAGTATAGTATATTTTTGGTATAAAACTTCATATTCATCGGCACTAGTTGCTAATCGTTCTGTTAAATCTTGAATTTCATGTTGTAGTTCATTCTAAACATTAACACATAGCGATATCGTTATCAAGAAAAAGACAATGCACCCTTTCTTGGTTTCGGTTTGGGTAGAAAGCTTTCTACTGGGCTCGATGCTCACGTTTTTCAGCGACTTTGATTTTAATCTGTAGATGAGTTTCATTTGTAAAATGAAGAAATATTTTTTAATACTCTTCACAAATGATTTTAAGAACTGATGTTATTTGAAGACTAAATCTGAATGCATGAACATTCAGAATATACTGGTCAAAAACGGCTACATACAGGCTTAATTCTGAAACGAATCTTACAAATGCTACTAAGATTCATATCAATTGTTTTTCATGACAACAAAAGTTACTGACATTTAGTAAAGAAACCATATCGAAATTGCTAAAAAAAATACGCAATAAACTTACAACAAAGTTTCTATAAACAGTTAATTGTTGTGTAATTTCAATTTCCTTATTTTGATAGTGAAGACAACGATTTTCCGCTTCAGTTAATAATGTTTTTAAAATCGCATAAGATTGTTTAGTAGAATCTTGTTCAAGAGATTCTATTTCATTCTGCAACTAAACAAATATGTACATGATTTTTTAAAAAAATTTCGAAATAATTATCTATTACCAATTCATTTGTTGCATCTTGTTTGTCAGGTACTTGTTCTGACGATTCGTCACCTATTCAATACGTAAATGACGAAAAACTGTTCATTACGGTTCCAAAAGTCTTAGTTTTCTAATATACAACTTCACTCGACTTTTTTTTTTAGTTTGAGGGTGTGGGTTTGGGTGAGTAAAGTATAAACCATATTCGCATCCACACCCTCAATATACTTTTCGTATCAAATAAAGTTCGATTAATATACTTACCAGAAGAAATATTGACCGAAATTTTGTTTATAAGTGTTGCTGACTCTGGTTCAATTGACATAGACAATGGTTTGTTAAGTTCTTCTCTCAAATTTGTTAACTGTTCTTTAAATTGATTTAAATCTATTTCATTAACATCATCTTCTTGACGGATTTGTTTTAATGCATCTGTTAGTTTGGTTAACTTAACTTCTAGTGCAGTGATACGTTCCGTTGAATATTGAAGTAATTGTGTTCTATAAACTTGTGCAGCTTCTTGAATTTTTTTCATTGAAGTTTGTTCCCATTCATCAATTTGTTTTGCTGCTAAACTCTGTTCTAAATCAAGTGTTTGTTGAGTGAGTGTTTCTCGGACAAGATCCCGATTAACTTCAATTTCATCTAATTGTTGATTTAATTGTTGACGATGATCATTCAAATGGTTATAACAAAATATTTGTAAACAGCCTTCACATCTAACTGCACTCCTTTGTTTACCACATATAACACATTGAGTTTTACCTACTGCTGTTAACATGTGACGATAGTAGATGTTTGTTGAAATATGAAAGTATGAAAAGACAACGTGAAAGTGTCTTATCAGATTGTGTCAACAAAAAAACATGTTTTAATAATGAGCATGAAATTAAAGAATAAAACGAGGAGTTTTCGTCGGTAAAAAGTGAAGTAGTGATATGCTCGATCGCGATACTATCAACACATAAAGAAAAGAGAAATTGTATACGAAAAACTAAAGTATTAGTAACTGTTCCAATCTCGATCAAAACACACGAAAAGGAAAGAGGAACAATGAAATATGTGCGCTTGGAAAGGATATAGTTATGATTTTTGGAGATCTTGGCGATGAATAAATGTGAGTGAGGATGAGGGTTTGAGAAAAACATAGGTCTTCATCGTCACTTTCAGCTACATCCACATCCTCAAAAGTTATAGCAGAAAAGAAATTGATGAAGGTGCTTTGTTAAGTGAATTATGATATTCAAGATTCCAGTAAAACATATATGTTGTAGGTTTAGGAACTATGAATTCAAATCATATTTTAGTATTAGATGAAAACTAATAGAATAAACAATACGATTATGAACATTTTACAACTAAAGTTGTTGAAAAATATGAAAATGAAATATGCTTTTGGATCAAATAATAGTCCTGATGAATTACCAGTATCATATCATACCACAAAACATACGCTTTTCGCTTATGGGCGAGGTATTTACACAACGTCTGATACTAATCTAGCAAAACTTTATGCTTTCAATTTTACTTATAACGGAGAACAATATTATATTATGCTTCAGAATCGAGTCAATTCAAGGGCTTTAATAAAATTCGATGGTGATAAATGTGAATTCGGAGATTATTGGATATCATCTAATGCTGATGATATTAGATCATACAGATATTGTATAATCAAGAAATCGTAATATATTATAAGATATTTCATATTGTGTTCAGTTGACACATGTAATGATTGAAAAAACTGAAATAGAATATCTTAATTTGCAGATCTTTGATTGCACTATAAATGACTGATGTATTAAAAATTTCAAAATGCTTCAGATAAACATTTAACTTAATGTAATGATAAATAATATTTACCGTTAGATACTTTCTTCTGATTCTACAAGCAACTTGAATCAATAAGAACATTTTATCTGCTATCGATTATTCTCGTTTGAAAAATCTTTTCCACTATTTATTTAAAATCAAAATCTAGCATAATATTGATAAGATGAGTATTTTATTTGTTTCAAATTGTTGTAGTAATTGAACTATGGGAATGAGCAATGCCTATGACATATAATTATGTCAGTAGATCATATTTCCATTTCTTTGCTGAAAATTGTTATTTTTGCTTGAGAGAAGAAGAGAACATAACTCTTAAGCAAAAGGCAATTGTAAATTGAAAGAAGTCTATAAATCATTGCTGTCTAGTTGATTTATTTAAGAATATTGTTGACATATTGTTTATTTTATATGAGTACATAAATGAGATAGATTTATCCGATTGATAATTTAGTCTTTTCTGTGCATTTTATTATCGTACATTACAAATGTGTTTTTCTTACAATTATATTCTTAGTTTTAATAAACTATAAATATAAATGATTTTGAGTCAGTTGTAAAATTATTTCTACTAGCGTATGCATATCAAGGATTTCTATATAAAAACTCTAAAAGAAAAAAACTTATTTAGAACTGTTCGTATAGAAGATATCATTTAATTAAAAAAAAACGTTCATGGAGTCTAGAGTATTCTTTTCCTTTTTTTTGTAAAACTCTGTAATGGATATGATCAGATCATTTCACAGTTACAATTAATACAGCAAATGGATGGGCAGTTACAGATGGTAAGAAATTTCATAAGAATTTGATTTTTGAATGATGTGGATGAGTAAGAAAAAATAAAATACTCATTTACACCCACACCCACACCCACCCTTTATTGAATATAATATTTACTCTATGTAAGAATAATGTTTTTCAAAAAATAACAGCCACGTAAAAAACAAGGTTATATAGAAATATTGAAAAGAATATTTAAATAATACCTAAATCTCTTATTTGCCTTCCAAAGAATGTGTGTAATGAATAAATACTTATTAAGTAAATATAAATCTATTCACATAGCATTTTCTTTTACCTTTCTTAATCAAATAACTTCATATAATTGATGATGTTTTAAACCTCGATTGAAGAAATGTTATGATTTTAGTTGTGATGAAAGAAAAAAGGGAACAGTTTTTTTTCTATAATAAACGTATACAAAATAAACATTTGAATAAATTTGGATGAATAAATCAATCAAACATAAAGGAAATGTATTTTTAATTTCAAGAGCATGTACACATGTTGAGAGAAATAGCTTTAGGCTCTTTCAACTGAAAGAAAACAGTGAGAAGTAATAAAAAAACGGTAAAAAAATCATTCATCACTGTGCCTACTTTATTTTTTTCATTGATCACATAGAAAATAATGCGATTAATCATTATCTTCGTTTTCCTCATATCTCTTTTACCTGTACAAGGTTCGTAATAGTATCATTTTCTCTCTCACTCTATCACAATATAAATGAATTCTATAGGACAAACTACAGAACTACCTGATTATTCTTGTAGTGAAAATAATGTTTCTATTCAATTTACATTATCTTCATCATTTCATTCAGCTTGGAATTCAATATCGAACTGTTCTTTGCAACAATGTAATGTAAACTCAAGCAGTAATTGTCTTTCATCATCAACACCTTGTTTTGATTATCGAACCATAAATAACAGTCGTTATTGTGCACCTGGTATTTTATGTACAATATTAGAAAGATGTGATAATACTACACAAACATGTTCATCAAATGATTCAGTGTGCGTTATTAATTCATGTTGTTCTTCACAAGCAATATGTTTACCATTATTAGCAACACAAATGTGTAAAACAGGTACTGATTCACATTATTTACATTTTAGACTTTATCACACTCAACTAGATTATTAAAGAACTAACAATGATTGAATAATGAATGATCAGAAACGTCGACATTAATCACTCATTCTTTTACAAATATCTTTCTAGCATGGCTTGTAAAATTTGTAGAGAACCGAAAAACATCTTTAATATATTTAACTGAGATAACACAGGAAATAGAAAATATAGAAAACTGAAGGTGCAGAATGATATGTTCAGAGATTTTGTATAATATATTTGACTATTATTCTCAATTTACATAAGTTTGAAGTTATATAAAATCAACATATCAAAGATTGTTATTTTTAGAATAATGAATGCTGAGTGCTAGGTGATATGATGTTGTATAGTGTAAATATATAAAAATGTTACTTCTAGGATGGTTTTCTACTAGCAATATGACTAATGCCCGAAATCAGCACAAAGCATCAATATTATCAAATGGGAAAGTATTAGTTACTGGTGGATACTATGGTAACAATGTCGCTTTAAATAGTTCTGAGCTGTTTGTTCCATCGACAAGTACTTGGATAACTACTGGTAATATGGCTGATGTACGATGGATTCACGCAGCCTCTGTATTGTTGAATGGGAAAGTATTAGTTACTGGTGGATGGACCGGCTCTAGTGCTCTAGATAATGCTGAATTATATGACTCATCAACAGGCATTTGGACGACTACTGGTAACATGCAGTGGCGGCGCGAGCGGGGGGGGGTTAGGGGGGGTACCCCCCTCCTGCTTTTGGAAAAAAGACTGAATTTTCTCCGATTTTTGGATTGGCTTTCTCCGATTTTGGGACTTCCTTTCTCCGATTTTTGAGCAGACTTTGTCGTTTGGTACTCATTTATTTTCTCCTTTTTTGCTATTTTGGACTTGAAAACTGGGGTTAGGTCTGGAGAATCCTGCAAAAACCTAAACTGAAGACCTTTTTTTTTTTTTTTGCTCATCAGTTTTGGTTTTTGGGTAGTTAAGGCGGAAAATTTTAGAAAATTTTTCTAAAATTCATGAAAACTGAAACTGAGAAAAAATTTTTTTTTCTTTCTCGCGTTTTATGATTACCCCCCTCCTGCTTTTAGCTCTTCGCGCCGCCACTGGTAACATGACTGATGCACGGTATATTCACACAGCATCTACATTATCGAATGGTCTTGTGTTAGTTACTGGTGGACTGGACAATAATGGGGTTGCTTTAAATAGTGCTGAACTGTATGATCCATTAACAGGCATTTGGACAACTACTGGTAACACGGCTGATATACGATATTGGCACACAGCATCTGTATTATCAAATGGGAAAGTATTAGTTACTGGTGGTGGAGTCTCTAGTGGTTTAAATACTGCTGAGCTGTATGATCCATCAACAGGTACTTGGACAACTACTGGTAATATGAATTATATACGAAGTGCTCACACAGCATCTGTATTAACAAATGGCCTAGTGTTAGTTACTGGTGGATTAGACAATAATAGTGTTGCTCTATATAGTGCTGAGGTGTTTGATTCATCAACAGGTACGTGGACAGCTACTGGCAACATGATTGATGCACGATATCTTCATACAGCATCTATATTATCAAATGGAAAAATATTAGTTACTGGTGGGTTAGGCAATGGTTATTTAAATAGTGCTGAGTTGTATGATCCATCAACGGGTACTTGGACAACTACTAATAACATGAATAATGCACGAGCTTATCACACAGCATCTGTATTATCAAATGGATTAGTATTAATTGCCGGTGGAGGGAATAATAACGGTGCCTTAAATAGTGCAGAATTATATTAATTATTTCAAATAAATTAACCTTCATTTATCTGATTCTTTTTCTTTTTAGCAGTCCAAATTCGAAACAATACTTTAATTAGTAGAACTATCATTTTAAAACGTCTGCGAATTGTTTCTTTCGATATTTTTACTGAATTGTCACATTTTAATATTCGCTCTGATATAAAAATAAATATCTTTGTTTTTCTACCCTTATATATTAGTATATTATGATTAACAGACGTTACATATTGATACGATAATTTGAGTTATGTTTTCAAATGTTCTCTTAATTTTACTTTGTAGTTTTTCATAATATTTAAGTATTCATTAGATTTAGAATATATGCTCGTTGGAACATTTTGGTTACAAAAAGGTTTTGAGGGATGCGGGTGGATGTTGTATACTAATAATACCACGCTGACACCTACACCCGTCTAGGATGTATTCGACTCGAAAGCAACCTAATTCAATTATGTTATGCTGATAATAAATTGAAACTTTTAGAATGTAAACAATAACGGGGTGAAGGGTGTGATGGTGAGAGTGAAGGTAAAGGTATGAATGCAAGTCTGGCTGCGAGCATGCAAAGCAAAGGCTATTGTATTTATGTCTCATCCACACCTTTCCTCGTTTTATTAAACAACGATTTTAATGCAATATCTCAGTTCAACTTGTGTAGTAACTTAAAAATAACTTGATTGGTTAATCACGAATAAATATCCACATATACTTTACGTCTCCAGTTTAATAGTGACGCTTTTCGGAGTATTTCTTTGTTGGTTCTCGACAGATTGCAGCATCCTATCAGAAGTGTTTTCAATGATCGATTATGTTCCATCATGTTCACGAGAGAGTCGACGCATGGACCATTGACCAATTTATTACTATCAAGATTCAGGCACTCAAGGCTAGTGTTGTATTTCTCAAGTACATCCGCCAAGAGTTCAACTCCCCGATCAGTTATTCGATTAGCGCATAAACCGAGATAAATCAATGTTCTATTTGTCTTGAGCATTTGAGCGAGATGGTCTGCACCCACATCTTTGATACCATTACGCGTAAGGTCAAGACTTCGAAGAATATTATTATTGATTGAGAGTGCCTTTGAGAGAAAATGAACACCCATATCGCATAGATAATCGGTGTACGCAAGATTCAATCTCTCCAATGTATTATTGTTGTACAATGCGTCAGATAACATCGAGGCACCAACTGGTGTAATATTGATATATTTTAAACAGAGTTCTTTGCATTGTTTTTTTATGATGGCCTCTTCTGCGACAATCTTCATATCCTCATCGATCAATCCCATTCCTCTTAGATCCATTTCTAAGCAAATATTCAGTTGTGGGATTATATTCTCCAATTGTAGATTGTCATCTTCAAGAATTTCTGAAATGAAGAAAAGGAATACAAAACTTATATTTCGAGGGATTAAAATTAAATAGCTGATACATGAAAATCTAATGAAACTGATCAGTAGAATACTCATCTAATTCGATTAATTAAATACTTTTTAGGTTGTTAATCAATAAGGGTTATGTTTTTATTCTGAGTAACACAGTTTTAGGTGAAAAGATCGATTGAAATGGATTAGTTTTCCATTGAATATAATACTTACTTAATTAAAACTATAGAACAGTTCAAAAGGCCTTCTGTTTAGATGAATTTTGAACATAGAAGAAGGCATTCCATAATAGCATGGAACATCAAAGTATGTGTTTCTTTAGACTTAGAATTGCTTTTTTTATTTCTGAACACTTTTACTTAATCGTGGAATACTATCTACAAGCAACAGGCAAATTTCTATCTTTTCATGAATGCGTTTTCTTCTGTTTTCTTTTCATAAATATTTTTCACTGAATATATTGAACTACCCTCCTTGTAACTGAAACCTAACTTGTTATGCTACTCTTTGTCTGCAATTTATTCAGATTCCACGACTTCTTTTTGATTTTTTAAGATATTACAAGGAATGGATAACATGAAAGCTTCGTTTTCAGGATAATTATAACATTTTTAACTTATACTTTTCTAAAATTATGTGACATATAGATTAAAAAGTGAAATATGCAATATCAGTTTAGATGAAGAAAATAAATAAACATAACTACGTTATTTTGTGCAAAGATTTGATAATCTACCTTTCTTTGGAGTTATTGAGATGGATGTATTTAATTGTGGCATATATTCCTGATTGTTTTCTGAACTGTGCGATGTTGATGGTGGTGATGATGTTTTTAATCGCGATAATGCTTGATTTAGTTGCCTAAGAGGAAATGGTTCGACAATGACGGGACAAAACGATGGAATTTCACAAAGATGAATAGTATGTAGACCTTGTGCTGAATATGATACATCAATTACTTTGAAGCATGTACCAGGAAGAAGAAGAATTTCGTCTTCTTCTTCAAAACTTGAGTGTGCATTAATGAATTTTCCACTGTAGGTTTCTATTGAAAATATTGTTTGTGTTTTCGAATTTCCCAAATAGAACGGAGATTGTAGAACATTGATTGAAGATGTACAAGAATTGAATGACCACCAAGTCTTTTCTTTTCCTCTTGAATAGAGGGCAGTCAGATCTTCTCGAACACCACGCCATACCGTTTTATATTCACTTGGACTAGCATGAAACAAAGTCTAGAAAACAATGGTTCATATTTAATACTCACGGTAATTTGTAGAAAGCCGTGAGAAATAACTTAAGATATCTAAACCATGGTCGAAGTTTCTTCCTGTCAGATAAACGAAGTGTTCGATTAAGTACAGCATAAAGACTATTTTCAGGTATACTCCATTCCATTGTGTATAAATAAATCGATGATGATTCACATCGAGTAAGTTCTTTGTTGCATCCTATCGAATTAATAGAAGAAATAATTATATTTTGTCTTAATTCTTTGCCAAGTATTTTTTCTAATGGTCTGCATGCTTCTTTTAAAGGTAACAGCATTTCTTCTTCGTAACCATGAATCGGTTTGAGTATTCGCTTGGGTTCATCACGAAAACTAGCCAACAGACGATGATTCACCTTGACAGATGTTGCCATATATATATGTCGGCGTTTGTTGCTTGAGATTTGATAAAATGTTAATGTTTTGTTGGTGTCTACAATAATAATTCTCTATGTAAAATGAAGAAGTGGGTGAATAAAAGCTTCTTATGTTTGATTATAAAAGGTAAAAGAATCGTTTCTGCTATGCTATCCTAGTATAGAAAGGTGGAGAAACTTCAGCGAAAAAGGTAAAACAGAAAGCGAAATCTACCATTTCTAAGATTTTGTTTGCGCTTACTATGGGTAATATTTTTGTTTCTTCTTTAAAAAGATATTTTCAACTGAAATGCTATGAAGGAACTTTGGAGCTCTCATTAATGAAATGATATAGAAATGAGATATTTTTAAGTAGGAGAATATTTTTTCTAATTATCTAGAGCGTCATTCATACTGTGTTTGTTGAATCCATTTAGAAATACGTTTCGAAAACTTGAATAGGAAATTTTCAAAAAACGAATGAATTCAGTTCTCGTTTACTATTTTACTTTCTTTTATACGATTATCGTTTTGGAATGAATTAGCGGATGACAAAAATGTTCTCTCGTCTAGAATATGGAAAAGACAGACGGCAGTTTTTAATTTTCTTATTCTTTTGCTTTTACTCGAAAGAAAATAAGAATGCCGCCTCTGTTAATCGTTATTTTGCATTACTACGACATTAGAGAAAAAGGTTTTCTTCTTTCATTAAATAATCTTTTTATCACGAGATAGTATTCTCTTTAGCTTTGACGTAAAAGAGGATGACGGATATATTTTGTTTGCATTGAATCTGCTTTTCTCTTTAATTTTGCCTTCTTTCATTTCTCTACTCCGCTCGTTCATATATCAAACAAGAAGAAAAAGAAAAAAAAACAAGATGATATAAATGAGTAAATTGCAAAGCTATTGTGTCGTCTAAAGAACAAAATGGACGAGGGTGTCGGTGGATGACTCAATCCTACACGCACAACCTTCATCTAATGAAGTTTTCAAGTCAACGCAAATTCTAGTAAAACTTGAGGGTGGATGAGTAAATAATAGGCATCCACAATTACACCCTCAAGATGATATTCAAAGGTTTTCGCTTTATTCTTACTTTTGTTTCGTTTATACGAATGAATCAATTTTGACTAAAAAGAAGATTCAGTGATAAAAGGAGAAAGTTTAGCGGCACACAAAGCGTATAAAGGACACCATAAATCCTGGTCGGAGTAAGTTTCACAGCATATTAACAGAAAATAAGAGTTAATCAGATAAAAAAAAATGTGTAAACATTGCAATATTTAATCTCACAGTTTATCTTTAATTTTTCCAAAGTTAAATAAAATATTGCTACAATCTCAGACTTTTGAGTGATTAGTTGTTTGCATGTGATTTAGATAGTAATCATACCCACACCCACGTAATTTTTAGAACTTTATTTTAATCCAATCTTTTTTTCTTTTAAAAAATAGACTTTCTTAATCTAATTTTTCGATTTTGGCAAATTTCATTCTTATTGATTTATTGTTTTTCTTCTCTCAATAAATCATAAAATCAAAAAAATAAATCTAATAAAAAAGAATTTATTGCCATTTAAAAGTTTCTCTGAATTTAAAAAATATTTTATTCATTTTGGTGTTTTAATTTAAAGTTTTTTCATATTTTTGGATTCGATGATTTCCTTGATCAACAACATAAAGGTTGGCTTCATTATCAAATGATAAACCTGCAGGACCATTCAATTGATCTGATTGATTTCCATTACCATTTCCACCAGCAACAATAATTCCTTCTTTCGCATCTTTTTCCCATTTCACTGCACGATGATTCTCACGATCTGATATATAAAGAGAATAATCTTTATCAATAAAGATAAAAGAAGGTCCATTTAGTTGATTAAGATGATCTCCTTTACCATTTCCACCTACAACTAATTCACCTATTACATCTCCTTGTTTCCATCGTCTTACTTCATGATTCTCAAAATCAGAAACATAAATAAATCCATTTTGATCGATTGTTATACCAAAACAATCAATATTTGAAACAAGAATTTGTTGATCTGTTTGATTTTGATCAAAATATCGAATTACTCGTTTGTTTCCCTTATCAGAAATAATCAAAGAATTATTTTCACTATCAAAAATTATATCTCTTGGATAATTCAATGGATTATTTTGATTTCCACCTGCAATGATTTGACCAGTATTTGAATTCAATTTCCATTTAACAATACGATGATTCTCATAATCAGCAATATAAATTGATTTATCATTATCAATAAAGATCTCTTAAGGCCAATAGAGTTGATTTAATTTATCGCCTTGTCCATTTCCTCCAGCAACAGTAATTCCAAATTGTTGAAATTGAGTCTCTTTTGTTTGGATTTCTTCTAAAAGAAAAGATTTTCTTTTTATTCAAATACTTTTCATTATTTGTAAATGAACAAAATTATTTTCAAATCTTCATAGTAGAAATAGTCCTATGATCAATAATTTCATAAATTCTCAGAAATTTTAGAAGAGTTGAGAATGTGGGTGAGGGTAGATATTTCATCTTTTAAATCACACTTATAATTTATGAAAAAGTTTTATCTCAATTCGAGAAACGATAAAACTATTATTATTGCTATTTAATGAAACATACTTTGTTTTATTGCAGGTTGAAATTGAGTTAGCATTTTATACAATGGTGTTATTGGATTCCATGGTATAGCTGGTATGCTAATTGGGAAATAATTTTTATAGGATGTCGTTATTGAATCTTTTAAAATAGTTGCTGTGCTAGTTGTAGGATGATTTGATTGATAAGAATCTTAATGAAAAGAAAGTACAATGATTTTATTCGAGAATAATAAAGCAAAGTTTAAATTTGTTCAATAATGAAACAAACTGAGAGAATTCGTTCATAGTTTATCTTTTGAATATAAATCCTAAAGTTTCTTCTATATAATACTTATTTCGTTTGCAAAAAATATTTCGAAGGTGTGAGTATTATATTCATCACACACCCACGCTTGTCGTTCCAATTAAAATATCTTTATCTATATATAAAATAATAAAACGATATCCTAACGTTTGACATCTTCTACTACAAAGATTAACTTTTTTCATAGTTAATAATTTTGAAGAGTTGCTTTCATATTGGAATAGTTTGACAGATCTCAGTATATCCTCAAAATACATATTCAAATCATGTAAATAAAAGTGTTCATTTGAAACTTTTCTCTCTAAACTTCATCGATAAAATTAATTTGTAATACGAAAAACTACTTCGCTTAAACTTCGTTTTCTCTTTTCTCGAAATAAAATAATTGAATAAACATACCGAATGATGAAATAACTGAAATTCTCTTGATAAATTCTTGTGAATCTTCTTTGATCGAAATATTTGATGATTGAAGAAATTCTTCTGTAATTTGTGTTAATTTTAATTGAGAATTATTTAAATCAATTTCATTACATTCATCTTCTTCGCGGATTTCTTTTAGTTTCTCAGATAATTTAATGAACTTTTTTTCCACATCATCGATTAACGTTTGTGTCAATTTTATTAAAGTTTTCCGACATTCTTCTGCTGTTTGTTGAATTTGATGAACTGAATTTGTTTCCCATTGATTAATTTGTTCAGTTAAAGAAGAATTGTGTGAATTTTGTTTTTGTTGAATAATTGTTTGTTGAAGTTGACCATGACCATTAATAATTTCATCTAACTGTTTGTCAACAACTTATCGATGTTCTGTTAAATGAGGAAAACAGAACTCATTTGAACATCCTTTACAATTGTATGTATTTTTTTTTGTGTTACACACAAAACATTGTGTTTTATTATTTGCTGTTGTCATTCGTTGAAGAATTTGAAAAAGAAATGAATGTTTGTTATCATTTTGTCTGTGTATTTATTTATATAAAACAAAATGAGTCAAGGTAGATAAATATTAGTAGGTAGTAAAAGAACGAAGAAAATCTTTTTTTAATAGATAAGAGATCTTCATCATGAAAATAATTTTAATATTCATTGACATTCAATGAAAACTAAATCTCTTTAGAGAAGATGAATTTTATTGATCTTTCGTCTTTTATGAGTTGAGATACAAATGATATTGTAGTTTTTTCATTGAAGACATTGAACTATTTTTCCATGTCTAATCTTTCAGTAGAAACACCTATCCAGAAAAGTCAAATTGAAAATTTCATTACTCTAAATACATGTTCTATTGATGTTATCTTCTTGTCGTTCAATAATTATATTATGAATGTAAATAATTATAAAATTGAAGTAAATGTGAAATCAGTGTCAAACACATTCTTTGTATCATCCAGAAGACATATCATACTATGAAAAACTAATAATAAATATATTTAATTTCGTTATGTCACAGAATGTGTTGTTTACGAAAACAAATGATCACATTGGACTCGACTAGTTTTATTTCTGTTCCTATTTGTCGGCCCCATCTATTTCTTTGAAATATTAAAAGTATTGATTTATTTGAAATAAATATTGTAATTCTCTGAAGTGATAGTAATCTAAAATTTTCTCTCGAATTCATTCATATGAATATAAGACGTAACATTGAAGTTCATCAGTGATAATTACTTAGAGATTTTTGATAATTGATATGAAACATCGATTCAATTATTAGTGATAGAATGTCATGTATTGTAAGTCTATCAACGACCTTTATCGATCTTTCATAGAAGAAATGATTTTCAAATCGAGAAATTTTTTTATGGACTTTTGATTGAATAAGTGAAAGTATAGATATTCATGTTTAGTTCAATATTTATATCTTTGATTATTGTAAGAACAATACAAATACAATACAACATCGACGAAAGTTTCATATTTTTGTTCATTTATGTCACAGTCGATATTACCACAGTCCGTCGCTTACGTATTATTTGGAGTGCAGGTGTTTTACGTGGTTCATTGAATTACAATAAAACTATCATTACAAAGAAAACTGCCAGAGGAGTGAATATAGTACTGATTGGAGAATAATATTTTGGTTCATTATTGAAAAATGACATAATCATGAATAGTAAAGCTGGAAAATAAACTATGATTAAATTTGTTACCAATATAATTATGAGTCAAACCATAATTTGAAATAAATAAGCATAATCAATAAGACACGAATTAAATTAACACAAACTGCTGCATGTAGGGTGTGAGAGACAATTTTAATATATACAACGATACCCACCGACACCCACTCGCAATAGTCAGCTTTATTTCTCTTCATAATGCATTTATTTACAACCCCCTCAAGTCAACTAATACAGTAAGGAAACGGCCAGTTTCGAGTCTTTTCGGAGATTACATGAAGGCAGTAATCTAAGTCGAAATTTCTTGGATGTGGGTGAATGTTAATCTATTCGTCTCCCATACTCATACTCGCAAGATATTTTTCATTAGAAAGATTCTATTGCATAAAGATTTACAATCTGTTTGCTAAAGTCACTGAGCTCAATGAAACGATCATCACTATTGATCGCAGATATCTGCAGTAAATCTTTTTACATTACTTGTTTTGTTGTTTGACTAAAAGTAACGAGAAAAATACCACCATATCTATGCTTAGCATAATAGGGTTTTATCTCATGAAATCGATAAGAAATACATCACTTTCTCTCACACAGCTTAGTCATATTTAGTCATTACTTTCAACTTCAAAAATAGTAATAAAGACATGGATATTGAATCATTGCTTGTGTGAAAATAACATGTGCATTTGTTAGAAGGAGAATAACGATATTGATATTACAGCACTGTGAAATCGCTGCATGTCTAGGATGTATTGCATGTCGTCTGCTAGCGGTAGCAAATGTTGAATACGATATAGTTCTTATACATTTTAAATGGAGAATTTATTAATGATGATGATCGACGATCGGTTGCCAGTATTTTATTTTATAAAAACGTTATAGGTGTACATAATTACTCATGAACTCGAATAATTCGTTTTTAAACATTCTTAATTTTCTTGAAACACGATATTTACCATCATGATTGTGTTTACAAAGTCTTATTAATTGTTATTCATATTCTACTACTGAATATAGCTAAAATTCTTTTTTCATTAACGGAAAGAATGATTCTGTAGAATCACATTATTACATGCATAATAATCACTTCAGTCTTGACTGTGCATAAAAAAAGCTTTAGTATTCACTCTTGTTTGGCAAAAAGAACTTTTAATAATATCAAAAAATATAACTTTCGAGATATTTTGCTGTATGAAATCACTTATTAAGGCTTCATGTAATCTAGAATATTTCACTTATTAATTTACCAGTTTTTTAATAGAATTAAGCTCGATGATTGAATGAGTAGAAATCAAGACACCGTAATTCGTTTTTGATTTTCTTTTGGTTAGTGATGTTGACAACAACTGATCATGTTTTAGTGATATAAAAAATTTCAATGGTCTTTTTATTTTGCTTTTTGTTATTTAACTCTAGTAATTCATCTTTTGAGAGAGAATATAAAGTATTCTCAACGAACTTCAAGCTAAAAATCGATGACTTTGAAAATATTGTTTGCCGAAGAAAAGAACGATTTATTTCTTCGTCCGCAACAGAATGCATGAATCATTATAATGACAATTGGTACCTTTCCCGTTTTCTTATCAGTCCGTTTCCCACATTACATAGGCTTTCTTCCTTGTTCCCTTTTTAATGGGGAAAAAGTATATGCTTAATAACAGACATACACGAATCATCATGACGAAATGTCACAGGATTATGTTGATTAGATAAAATGTAATTTCGTTGCGAATCCGTAGACCGTCGCATGGAAAAAGCCATAATCTCACTTCTTCCACGTTATCTACTGACCAATTTCCCATTCGCATGTGAAAATACAACGATGTCTCTCCTTCTATATATATATGTCTTATTTTATCATTAGAATTTATAAATCATTTTTTGGCTTTATTGAAATCAATCAATCTTATATATATTTAAGTGAGTATTTAAGTGAAGTAATTTTAGTTGAATATGATTATATGATTTATATAGATACTATGGCTTTTATAAAAGTGACATCCATTTTATTCTTCTTTGTTTTGTTGCTGGTGGCTCAAGGAATGAACGGGCTCCATGAAAACTCAAGTAATTATGATTACAGCGAATTGTTAATCGTTAAACGATTGTCTATTTTTCAGTGATGCTTGCAAATGAAACTGCATTGAATGGCGACGTTCGTCATTTCTATTGCGACGGCTCAGCTTTTGACCAACATCGATGTATGAAGCACTGTAGAGATAGCGGTTACAGATTCGGCTTTTGTCTATTATATAATGGTCGATTACAATGTCATTGTCGCAATTGATCAGTATACACCATGCAACTCCATCAGTGATATTTATTCAAGAATTTTTAAGATATATTTGAGTGAATTTTCTTTTATCAATTAATAAAACTAAACATCCGACTGAAATAAACATATATAGATACATTGAAAGATGAATCGACTCGTGTGCTATATCTATACAGATAACGACAATATTGTAGTTTATGAACCTTATCTGAAGTTGAAGTCATCTGGATTGCTTTCAACAGAATCGAACTTTTCAATCGTATTTTGATAGCATAGTCAGCCAGAAAACGAACAGATTGATGAGTTATCGTGCTCTATATTTGATGAAAAAACAAGTGAATATCATTTTACAATAAAGTTAAATATAAAACTCATGAAAATATTATATTTTCGATTTCTCTTGTTCGGTGAACCTCGATATTAAAATTATCTACATTACCGAAAGAGAGCCGATAAAGTAGTGAGGTTTGTTGTCGAAACTACACTTTATATCTACTCTATATGTTTGACATTGTGCATGATTTAGAATTTCATATTAAAGCAGAATTTTTCTGTTCGTTATTGCAAGCAATATATAAAATGAAATGCAAAATCCATTGAAATTTTCCTACAATAGATTTGAATGTATAAAATTGAGAAAAATGACAAATGTGAACTTAGTAAAACGTATAAGAAGTGACAAAACAATACTGCCGATAAACATTGATACCAAACTAGTTTTACACAATAACCACTCAAGTTAACCCTTCCGCGACGATTTGTTTTCCATAGAAAGTAACGGGTAACTCAGAATGAATCATCGCGCTTCGCAACTCTTATTCTAATCTCTGGAAACATTTTGTTAGAAAACAGATTCTATCACAACCTATCTCCACAATTGATCGCACGCATTTTTGGTTTTTTTGAAAACAAAGGTACACAATTAAAGTAAGCTTTATGATGAGGTTTGTAGAGCTTTTCACCCTGAGTCTTGTGGTATATTTTGTTTTCTAATAAAACATTTTCTACGATTAAAATATGAAATAAAAATCATAGTCGTTTACTCTGGGGCATCTGCTTGAGTGTGAGGATGTGGATATGACTGTGGATAAAAGAGGAGTAAAACACCCACACTCACACCTACCCACCCATATTCTCACCCACACCGATACCGACATCCACATTCACACCCATACTCACCCACACCGAAACCCACATCCACATTCACACCCACACCCTCACCCACACCCAAAACTCACTCTGAGATTCTCGGTGGTTTATTGTGGAAACGACAGTAACACAACAGATCAGGTTACAGTCTATGTTGATATATTGTTTGGTATCAGGAAAGAGTATAGTTTTCCTTGTTTGACAGACTTTAAAATATGGTTATATGATCATTATTCCACAAATTAGAAATAAAGCATGAATTGTCAATACAGAGAGTATTACTAAATTGATGATGATTTTTTTCTACAGGATGTGTAACCATATACTATCATGAATCTAATATTATCGTTTTAACACGTTTATTAACTGTTTGAACATGGTTTTATTCTCTTTCTAACTTTTTCTATTACTACTAGACTAATTTATCGCTGAGAGTAATTGTTTATTCACATTTACATACACATCACAGTAGAGAAAAATTCCTCTCACTAAAAATATATAACTTTTTATTTCTCTGGACTATAGACAGTCTATAGTCTTACAACCAGTAAAGATACAAATAAACACAGTCGATAATGGACACAAGTTCATTAAACAAAGGTAAAATCATTTTTCAGCTTCTTCTAATAATTTTAATTCGATGGACAACTATTACGTGCCAATTGAATTTATACCATACTAATGAAGCAATTAGCAGCAATTCTCTACAATATCATTGCTTGAACTATCATGTTTACCGTGAGAAACCAGCTTATTCGAAATTATTAGATATGGTTGATGAAGTCATTCCGTACTGCTTTCGCCCAGTAAACTATTTCGAAAAATCATCCGAAACCTTTATTCATCCGCTTTCTCAAAAACTAAGTTTCGAACAATTACGTCTGGCTCATAATACTTCAGAACAACTTCTCTCGTGGTCCGTTTCGATTGATGTAGCTCAACGATATGAACTCTATTTAATTGAACCGAATGCTGCATTTAATGAAGTTCTCTACAATTGCACTGAACCGTGGTTTGGCCCTCGATGCCAATATTCGTTTCCTTTCGGCGGTCGTAGATCTTTCAACCAAATTGTTGAAGCGGCTTTTCGTCCAAGGACAGTATTTCCCGAGTCATCTAAAGTGACAGTACAGGTGCCATGCTATGTTCTTCTAGAATGTCATCGTAATGGACAGAGTTGGTGTCTTGATTGGCGTGAAGTGTGCAATGGAATCGTTGATTGTTTTGATGACGCTGTCGATGAAGAATATTGCTTCGATATGGAAGTAAATGAATGTGACAAAAATGAATATCGATGCTACAATGGGTTATGTATATCAAACGAACTCTGGGAAGAGGGTGGAGGTGATGCAGACTGTCTCGATCGATCCGATGAAGTGTTGTATGCCTCCTATATAGAATCCTGTTTCCAAGATCCAACGTTCCGCTGTGAAGAACATTCTTGCAGACCATACGAAGGTACATTTCCCTGTGGAGATGGCCAATGTGTCAACAAATTTGATGAATGTTATAACGGACGACACAGGTTACTGATAGAGTCGATGACAACCAAAGGTAATCTAACAGATGAATGTTGGATTGCTATGACTTGTCTCACTAAACTCGCTGAGCAAATTCATGGAAGTTCATGTAAAATATGGCTGATGAACGACTTAATATACGAGTTCCTCAAAAAATGTGATTCGTTTTTCCAATTTCCAACTATGCCAGTTCATTCTGGTCATATTCGTTTCTTTTATGAAGAGCCTTATTTAAGACAGCAAATGAATGAGTTTCTTCTACCTGATTATATTTGTTACAACCAACAACTATGCGATTTTATTAAGCCTGATTTAATTCGTGAAAATCTCACTTGTATAAATATGTCCAAGTTAGTGCTAAAACTAGATATCAAGAACGTACCTTGGAACGAACTGATATGGTTTATCGAACTAGGTTTTCGTCCTTGTTTGATTTCTCATGCGATCTCACGCAACAAAACAAAAAAATATGTGAATCATTCATTACTATATAACTGTCGCAACTCATCGAACTTCATTTCTGTACATCGCATCATGGATGGTATAGAAGATTGTTTCCATGCTGATGATGAGAACTATCGAAACAGTTGCCAACTTAACGATCGATACCGAGTGAGATGTCACAGTACAAATACATGCTGGTCCCCTATATTGAAAGAGTATATTTGTTCAAGGACCGGACAGGAAGACAATATTCCATTTCAACGTTTTTGTAATGGTATCAACCAATCCATTTACTACGATAATTATGGGCAAGATTATAATGATGAGTTCGAGTGTGAACAGTGGGTGTGTAATAACATGTATGCACGTTGCGACGGCTATTGGGCGTGTGCCGATGGACGCGATGAGAATAATTGTAGTCAAACAAAATGTCGTTCGGGAACTCATGCCTGTGTAGATCGTCTCAATTTTACAATAATATGCTTACCTCACACACGTGTTAATGATGGAAACGATGATTGTCTTGGTGCATCCGACGAACAACACGAATGTCACAGGATATATCCTCCGAGCGAAGTTCCTAAACGCTTTCGCTGCTTGAAAGATGCAAAGTGTTTAGTAGCATCAGAATTATGCAACAATAATATTGATTGTCCACTTCACGATGATGAAAAATTCTGCAAAACTCATCTGTTCAACTGTACCAACGATTCAACATACAATCGCACTGAAATAGAAGAAGTTCTTTGTGGGCTGAGTGAACAGAAAAATCGACGAGAACAGTATTTTTCTGTTCATACATCGT